GGTCATGGGTTGGACTGGATGATCTCAGAGGCCTTTTCCAACCTCCTTGATTCTGTGATTCTGTGATCTTTAAACCACCAAAGCTTTGAGTTTTCTGGACTGGCTCTGATGAGCTTCAATAAACAAAGCTTGAGGGAGTTGAGGATTGAGCATCTGGGATCTTAAATTTATGGTCCTTCAAAGACATGTTGGAGTAATCATAAGATACAGAGGAGAATAACAAAGACATTACAGCCTGAAAGTGGGAGAATCTTTGTCTAAGGAAGAATGATAAGAGAACCAAAGAACGCGGACCAAAATAGAAAACAAATTTACATCCTAATCCCGCAGCAAGCACCAAACCCTTTTTGCATCACTCCTGGCTTTTAGCTTCTCTAGAGTGTTCCCAAGGGAGCTTCAAAGGCCCAGGATCACCTGAGTTTTGGGTGGTCATGGAAGGCTCAGTGAGTTCAGGAAAGGGGAGGGAAGAGCTGCCTGAGCAGGGAGCTACTGAACTCACCCTGACGGGATATGAAATATGGATGGGGCTGGGAACACTGCTGTTAGAGTTGATTTATTCTTGGCATCTTGCAGTGGTGCTGCTGGGGAGGTTGTGTTACAGACTCATTGATCCCCCATTAATGATGGATTAATGTTTAACGGTGTCCTCCTCCTCCACCAGTCCGTAGCTTTTCACGTGGAGCTGCTGGGAGATGAATTTTCATTGTATGTAAAACTGATCTATACCAAGATTTTTTACCACTGGCTTCATTCTGCCTCTCTAATTTTCATAGAGCCCCCTGGAAAAATGGTGATTGATATTAAATTTTTCACAAAGTGTTTAATAATTTACGGCTTTGGGTGTTTTCAGGTTGTCCAAGGCACTGTTTCAGGAGAGGTCATGGGAGAAGGAGGTTGTCCAGAACACAAGCAGCTGGCTGGGGATCAGCTGAACTCCCTGCAAGTGCCAAGGTGCTGTTTGCTGCCTGGGCTGGGCTGGGTTTGTGCAAAAGGAGTTGGCAATGACTCATCCTGGGAGCCAGGCTTGGCATGACACAGCTGGGCCTGTGGGGTGACAGAGCAAAACACCACACAGGGACACACATGGACTCTGGCCAAGCCAGTTTGGCATCAGCAGCAGATGGAAAGGCCACCAAGATGATCAGAGGGATGGAGCAGCTCTGCTATGAGGAAAGTCTGAGAGAATTGGGATTGTTCAGCCTGGAGAATAGAGAAGGGTTTGGGGTGACCTAATTGTGGCCTTCCAGGACCTGAAGGAGCCGACAAGAAAGATGGAGAGAGATTATTTATAAGAGCCTGGAAAGACAGGATGAAGAGGAATGGCTTCAAACTGACAGAGAATAGGGTTAGATTAGATATTAGGAAGAAATTTTTGGCTGTGAGGGAGGGGAGGCCCTGGCACAGGTTGCCCAGAGAAGCTGTGGCTGCCCCATCCCTGGCAGTGTCCAAGGCCAGGTTGGATGGGGCTTGGAGCAACCTGGGCTAGTGGAAGGTGTTCCTGTCCATGGCAGGAGGAGTTGGAACAAGATGATCTTTCCAATCCAAACCATTCTATGATAACAATATAAATAAAGGTATTCAGCAGGGACTTTGAAGGGCTGGGAGGCTCCAATGAGGTGAGGAATCCTGCCAGGTAAAACCCCTCACACAGCTGTGCCAGCAGGGTTTGTGTCTGCAAGCCCTGCTCCAGGCTCTGCTGTTTATGAATGCACCCTGCACTCAGGTTTCTGACCTCTCCCAGTCTCCAGGCAACCGTGTCCACCCTCATCCCTTGAGATCCACCTGCCATGTTCCTCCAGGCTTTTGACCTGGTGCAGAAGATGAAGCTGCTCCAAAGCCAGCAACTTTTGGGTACAGGGTACACCTGAACACTGTTTCTGTGCTATGGCTGCTCTGGGATCTGCATTTACTGCCTGCAGTTTCCAGGAGTAAACGAAACAACCTATGAAATTCTTCTCACAACTGTGCTAATTCATTAGCACAAGTTTGTGAGCTGTTTCTGCTCAACTGATGAGCAGTTCCTGTTGTCAGTAGGGTCAGTGAGATTTAGGGGATCCTTGCAGAAAGCCAATGGTTCAACCCTTTCCAGTGGTTCACCCCTTTCCCACCCTGAGGTGACGAGCCCAACTAAGGGAATGGGTTGCTTTGAAGTGACAGACTGTGAGGGGAACAGGCTGTGGGGACAGAGTGTCTCAGCACAGAGGGGGGTCAAGGGGCAGCCAACATGGGGGTTATAGAGCCACAGAGCACTGCTTCCAAATTTCTGCAATTCAGCCATTTTTGCCCATCCCTTCACAAATGACCTCTTTGGCCATGAAGTCTCTCTCTGTGTAACACAATCTGGAGCTCCAAGGTGGGGAGGAGACACCAGCCAAGAGGGCCAAAGGACACTGGTGACTTTCTGGTCCTGCCAGCTCATTCCCCACCCACCCCAGGCACAGGGAAACATAAAACCACAACCAAATGGATAGTTTCTGCTGGTTTTTTTCACCTAATTTCTTTTAACTGGCATTAAAAGGATTGCACCTTCTGATACAGATCATTCATATATATACAAATAATTTATTCTCCATCTACATCATTTACAACTGTACAGAGTAAACTCTGGATGCCACAGACCACACTCCAACCCAGCTCACAGTCTCATGGCTTTTTAAGCATTTCCCTTGTGTGCTGGGGTGCACAAAACCCCCAGTGAAGCCCCAAAGAGGCAAATGTGTGCAGAGCCACTGGTCACTCCTTAAATCCCATATTATCCCAGCTCACACAGAACAGCTGGTGCAAGCAGGCTGTTCCTGACTTGTTTGTGAGCCTCCTGTCTACCTTCATCTTCCTTCAAGACCAGAATGTTTCCTGCCTAAGTCTGGCACAGGTAAGCATCAACAATTTTTGTTTTATGAGGTGAAAAACAGTACTGAAGGACCAGATGCTGTGGCTGAGACCTTGCTGCCTTGTCACTTCTGTGAGGGACATTAAGGCTTGAGGACTGTGTTTGGCTCTACCAGGAGCAAAGGGCTACATCTGCCAGCATTCCAAGGTAGCTTCCTTTGGAAATGGTCATGCTGCTGTTGCCCAGCATGATCTTCCAACTGTTGGTGCAGGTTCAGGATTAAATATTTCTTGGGACCTGGTGGCTTTTTACACTGCTAAATAACCTGTCACCTGCTGACAGCTCTGGAGCTGCTGAGCCCCCAGGAGTGTGTTTCAGCAGTTGTTTTGGGTGGCATGACACACTCAAAGTGAGAGCAAATCAACCTTTAGCTTGGGAACAGGAAGGGGCAATGCCTGCTGTGCCAGGCAACAGGAGAGGGAACACAGCTGCCCTGTGCTTGCTGGCACAGAGAGGGACCAGGGAGCGTTGAACCCCTAAACTCTGATGCATGTGGTAAGAAATAGAGGTAAGATTTCCATGGGGCCTAACCAGCCAAGACAACCCACAACCTGAGAGCAGTTCTGCTGAAAGGAAACTCCTTTCCAGTCCCCCAGACTGGGATATCTGGAGGTGGGCTCCTTGTTCCAGGTGTGGGTGGTTAAACAGAAGTGACTTTCCAGAGGTGCAGCTCCCCGAGGCTGGGCAGACCTGGCACAGACAGGCCAGAGGGGTGGATTTGTCCCATCTGTTGGGGCTAAATAAGGATTTGCCAATGTCACTGCAGCTGGTTGGCATCACCCTGGAGCACGGAGCTGGCTCCAGGGATTTCCCAGCAGTGTCAGCCAGAGATGACTGGGGAGAGCTGTTATGTACACCTACAAAGCTAAAGGACACTTTCTTTGGGCTGGTGATCCAAGCAAGCACCCCTGAGTGAAGGCAGCCCAGGTAACGAGTTTTTGGGAGCCAAGAGAACAAAGAAATGATAGCGTCATAGAAGGAATGCCCTGAAATTCCTCCAGTGTGAATTTAGGGGGGAGTCCCTGGACTCCAGAAACCACAGATCACATTCAGAAAGTCAATAAACACACACGGTATTTCATCCATTATTTCGCTCAGCCAAAAACTGGAATGAAGACAAGGTCCTCCTCCAGGATCATCCTGAACACCAGGTCACTCTGACTCCTGGTCACTCTGACTCACTCCACAAATCCTGGTGGAAGCAGGAGCTGTGCTGTCACTGCTCAGCCTGGCCCAGCAGCAAACCAGGGGAGGGTTTCTACACCATGGGAGCAGCAGGAGAAAGGAACAAAGAAGTCTTTCAGGCATCCTGCCCATCTATCAATCCCAGGAGCACTCCTCTGCACAACGCAGCAGGCACAGACCAAACCAGGACTGCAAGGCGGGCTGGGACACTGAGACATTGCTGGCTGACCTCATGGGAGACGTCCAGTCCTGCTGGGACTGTAGGAGGTTGTTCCCAGGATGTACAACTGGAGGAATTCACCCAGCACTCATGAGGTTCCAGACAAGATGCAGAGAGGGTGTATAGTGAAACCACAGAGAAATCCCAGGTGGACTCCAAGGTGCAGCCTCCATATCTGCTCAGTGAAGGTCTCTGCTTCGAGCAGAGCCAAGCGTATCCCACAGCACTTCCTGGGCAGCACAAGCAGTTCTTGCCCTGTTCCTCACTGTCAAATATTGCACCAGATTTCCCATGTCCCCCATTCATTGTTATCTCATGTAGCCCTTTGAAACAACAGCAGATTTTCCACTGACTTCCAGAGAAGCCTCATTGAACACACATTGTGGCCAGGCTTTCCTAAATCAGGCAAGGAAGTAATTGCTAGTTTGCCCAAATACATCACCCTGTGCCAGAATGAAGAGTTTGCTGTGCAGAACCTGGCAGTCAGGCCCTGATCCCATGCTGGGCTGGGAGACATCACCACAATAAATATTACTGCCAGCAACTGCCCTGGGATGCACAGCACAGCGAGCACCAACACCACAGCCAGGTTTTCTACCCAGTCTTCCTGAAATGAAGCAGCTCAGAGGTTTCCCTTGACTTGTGCAAAAGGTTAAAACTCAGTTCTGCAGCAAGACTCTGCCCCTTGGCAGGGCCCTGTTAGCCGTGGTCACACTGTCACCCAGCAGGGCATGGCTGTCACCCTGAGCCCTATCCACCCCTGCTCTCGCAGCTTTTCACACCATTACCATTGTAAAATCGCCATTGGTGCCTTTTAGTGTGTTTTCTTTTTCTGTGTCCTCTGTGATGACACAATGTCACATCTCCCACACCAGCATTCTCCCGTTTCCTTCACTGTGTGAAGCCTGCAAACGTGTTGATAGGCAAGAGCAGAGACTTGGGCATGTATTTCACAAGCCCCACGTCTTCTGTTTCGTGAAGGCTGAATTTCATGGTCCTTGTCTTCTGCAAGCAGTAGCTGGGCTCTAGGCAAGGAGACACTTCCAGGCTGCAAGAGCACAAGAACACATTTGCTGCATGTACAGATCTGCCCTTGAGGGCCAGAGCCTCATCTCAGACCAAACACCAGGTCTCTGCACTGACTGCTGAGGGAGGATGGTCACACTGAAATGTGCAGCTGCTTTTGTGCTTTTTTGCAACTGTTTTTGGATGGAAAGATGAGATGATGTGTGTCAGTTTGACCACACCACCAGTGTCCATAGCCTGGCCCAGCCTGATTCTCAGGAATTCAGTTTATGTGTGTTACATGAGGGCCACAGATCTTGAACTACCTGCTTGTTTCCAACATATCATACAGGCACATTCTACAGGCACATTAATCCCTGCTACTTTCACAGGGCTGGATTCTCTACCCCTTGAGACTCCCTGGTGAGAGGTACAGTCAGTGGAGAGAGCATCAGCCTCAGGAGATAATTCAGGAGATCCAGGATCTGTTTGCCCCTGGAAGTACCTATTCTTCTACTGTCTTAATGACAGCACCTTATGTACAATGAAAAACCATTTTGTTTCTCACACCATCACCCAAAACCACAAAGCACCCCTCTGCCCTACATTCCCTCCATTCTTTTGTCCTGCATGAGGATGAGGACTAGGACTCCCTGGGAAACAGCCCTTCCAGGGAGATGGGCAGAGCCTGGCACACGTGGCACTCTCACCTGATCACGTTCCTGTAGGTTCTTCTGCTGTCCTTGTCCAGACACACAGTGAAGGGTCTCTGCTCTGTGCTCCTGATTGTGATATTTCGTGTTTTCAACCTGTTTGCCACAGCCTGGATGGAGAGAGGAGGAGGAGCCCAGTGAGTGTGTCCCTCCCCTCCCTTGGCTGCAGGGTGGTGGGTGGTGTGTGCATGCTGGGTATGAAAGGGACAGATGAGGACATTCCTCTGGTTTTTATTTTTTAACCTCAGATGTGACACAAGGCAAAGCCTTTTCCTGTAATCACAACCTGGTCAAGTTTTGTAAGGGCAGGCTTTCTGAACTGGCAATGCTTGCACAGGCTACAAGGTTTGGGATGTCTCATGTGGGGCATGGCCTGTTCTCCACGGCTGTGGGGTATCTTTGTGGGCAGTGTGGGCTGCAGCACCTTGGTGTTCCCAAAAGCCAGGTGAAAATAAGCAAAACTGTGCTGGTTACTTAAAAACACCAACTGAGAGACTGGCGACTCTGGGACCTGAATGACCAAGGCACACCAACACTTAATGCCACCCAAACTGCAGGGACAGGTTCCCTTGAGGCAGTGTTGCCTCTGGGGTCTACCTGAACTCTCATGCAAAACAAAAAGGACAGAAACCCAAGATTTCAGTCCCTTCTCTTACATCTCCACCTTCCTGAACTGATAAATAGATTAACTGAATTTCCTGCTTCATGTCTGTGCTTTGTTAAATTATTTTTTGGGATTTCTGTGGGGAATAACATGCAGGGTCTGCAGCTGAAGGTGTGGAGTAAATGGAGTTGGTAGCAAAACTACAGACCCTCTCCTGCACCCAAGTGGAGCCACGAGGACCGGGGCTAAGCTTTATTTCTCTGCTTTGTCCTGTGGACACAGCTCAGTCATTTAGGGTCTCCTGTGACAGGATTCCACGTTGCATTGACCAGCAGGGGCTTTGGTTCAAAACTCTGGACTTTTCCATGGAACGTAACTACAAAACGCCCTCTAAGCAGGGTGGTCCCAAAGCCTTCTCCTCCCCACAGAGTGTTTCCCCTTTCACTGCTGTTGCAAGGGATTTCCAGGCAGTGACCAACCCCTCCAGGGCTGTGAGGATCCCACAGGTACTCACTGAGAACGACCGTCCTGACAAGTTGCTGGTCCTGATGATTTCAGTGATGGTCACGTTCAGACACACCAGATCTGCAACAGAACCAGCATATTAATCTCAGGCCATGGCAGGATCTCAGCTCAGCTTGCAGTAGGGATGGTGCCATACCCCACATTTGGGTGCACTGCCTGTGGGATACATAGGGCAGCAGAAAAGGAGGACTCTGGCAAGCTCCAGGGGCTAGGGATTCATGTAGGATCATGCTCAGGCTGGGAAGCTCACAGGGCAAGGTGAAAGAGGAAGGCTGGAGCAAAAGGAAGATGCTGCCAAGCTTAGATCATGTCTGAGCCTCAGACACATCATTCATGAGAAAAGACACCATCAGACTGTGGTGACACCAATATATGCCCGTCACTGATTCAACCCCACAGCCCAAGCACAACTGGTACTAAGGATTATGCTCAGATTTACTCCACTGAGCACTTGAAAACTCAGCAAACCCTCCTCATGTGGTTCCAAGCAGGAAGAACCCACCTTCAGTCTCCTGGGAAGGGATGGCTTTCATCACCAGACCTGTGGAGCGCAGGGACATGTCCAGCTCCTTCTCCCGGTCACTCACCACGACCTGCAGGCAAAGCTCTGTTAGTTCCTCCTGGCAGAGAGGTTGGACATGGAGAGGTCTGGGGCAGGTTTTCACAAACACAGGGTTAGCTACCAGGCTTTTAAAGCTCACCACAACCTCTCTGTCCTCTCCTGGAGTGCAATTCCAGAGGAAAGAAGGAGGGCCAGAGTCCTCCTTTTAGGAGATCTGTGCCAGGCTGGGTATCCCTGTGAGCAGAGACATTTTGGGCTGCCGAGAACCCTGCTTACCTTTCTGTATGTTACTGTGAGATCTATGCCAGGGCCATCCAGGGTTGTTTTCTTCTTGGTCATGCTTAACTCTGCAAGGAGGGAACCAAGTAGGATTGAGGTTTCACTCGTGCCACCCATCTGTGGTGAGCAGAGGGGAGTCCTCCCATGGGATGAGCCACCCCCTCCATCACAGAGTGGTCTGGCACATCAGCCCTTCTCTCCTTGCCTACAGGACCTGAGGCTTCGTGCACTCAGCATCTCCAGTGAGATGGACTCACTCAAGGGTCTGTGCCCCACCTCAGTGGCAAACATCCATTGGATTGGACACCACAGTACACTGATGGAGGGGCTGGATGTGCCTTCTGTAATGGCCCAGCCTTCAAGCACTCTTATTCTATAACTGGCACCTCGAGGAAGCTGGATTTCTAATAGGGAAAACACCTGGCAATGGGGATGGCTGTAAAACCCAGCTTATTTTCCCAACAAAATAAGGGCACTGATCCAACTCCAGAGGGTCCTGGAGCCAACCAAAGGCACAGTCTACAAAAGCTGTTTGAGATCAGGAGCCAAGTGACCACAAGGTCTCCCATTTAGCCTGGTTTCATGTGTCTGAGAGGGAGATGGAGGTGTTTAGGGAAGCCTCCTGCTTGTCCCATAACATGGCTTTGGCTGCTGCAGGCTGAGGGACAGGGTGAGTGGGGTCTGGGCATGGCAGGATCCTTGCCCAGGGTGGCAGCCCCTGCTGCAGGGCTCAGCTTGGTGGGACACACACACCTCTGTGGGAGATGCTGTCCTGCCCCTGGGTGCACAGCTCTGTGAGGAACACGTCCTCAGCCGGCTCCTGTGCTGGGTCATTGAAGAAAATCTGAAAGAGAGAAAAATCTCTTAAGAACGTCTCCTCCGTCACCTGTGGCCTAACCATGGCAGCCAGGGCATCTATGGGACGGGGAGAACTGCTTTGGCTCTGCTTCCTGAAGCCCAGGAGCATGGCAGACCTCGGCCCTGGTCAGCAGAGCCACGAGCAGTGTCCCCTGCCACTGGATGTCACTGTGCACTCACGAGGAGTCAGCTCCCAGCCATCCACCCCCTGCTCACAGGGAGCAGCTTCCCAGGCCTGGCTGAGATGCTGGCTGAGCTTCAAGGTACCTAATTTCTATCTGATTCACTTAAATCATCAGGTGACTCCAGCCTTATGAAATATTTTCTTTTCGTGGTCTTGTACTGAGCAAAATGTGAGGAGAAGGTCCTGGAGAACCTCTCCTAGCCCTACATCCAGCTCCTGTGGGACTTGAGTCACATTGCTAGGAAGCTTTCATCAGCCAAAGGGGAACAGTGGGCTCTTAACCAAAAAGGCAAAACAGGGTCAAGTGTTTCCAGATGAAGCAATATCACAGCCTGCATGGCAAGAGATTAGTTTAGGTGCGTCTATCTGAAAACCACATCTGGAATCAGTTCCTCTTCCCCTGCTTGAATCACCCACTCTCTCAGTTGCTGTTGGTTTTTGTCTTGGAGGAGAAATGAGTGGAGTAAAAATTCACCAAAAAAATCAAAATCCCCAGCCACACAAGCTGAGGACCAGATGCTCCAAGTCTTTACAGGATACATGTTATTAGTTCAAGTCCTGGTGATGCTACACCAGGAATCATCGAAGTTCTTCCAGCTCTTTGCATGTGCCAATTTGCTCATCCAAAGGCTGCTCCTGTGTTGTTGCCACAGTGGTTACAAGTAGATTAAAAGGAGATCTGTGCATCAGTGCCAGCCTAAGCTTTGAAGGGGGGAACTGCCAGAGGAGCAGAGCAGGGGATTGATGTTACGTGCCCAAAGACAGTTTGTCTTGGCTCTCAGTTTTGGCATATCAGGTGCCAGGTCTCACTTTGATACCTTTTCAGAGAAAAGCTGAGAGGAAATAAATAAAATGGTGTTTCAGGAAACCCTGCAAAACCCCTGTGAGGTACAGAAAGGTTTTGGCAAAGCTGCTCAGAAAAGTCCTGTTTGCTTAAAGAACAAGGAGCAGGAGGTACCAGGGCTCCTGAGCAACCCTGAATCCAGCAGAGCAGGTAATCTGTGTCCCTTCAAGGCTCACTTTTCTGACCTGTGTGATCCTGAAATAGCCTTTCCAGGATCACTGACTCCAGCTGAGCTGTGCTACACGGAGTCACTGAATCTGGGAGCCTGGCAAGGAGGGGACAGGCTGGGGGGCACAGGGATCCAGGCTCAGATCTGCTGGAAGTCCCCAGGCCCTGCTGACTCTGCACAGCTCCACAAGCCCTTGCAGGGCCACGTGAAGGCTCAGGAGATGTGACACCCACCTTCACAGCATAGACCTGGAAGCAGACGGGCTGGAGGCCCATGCGGACGTAGTAAGCAATGACGTCTGTGATGAACAGATCGGTCACGAGGTGTTTGCTCGGCGAGGGAGGCTGGGCAGGGGGGCAAATCACATCATGGGTCACTCCACAGTCACTTCTCAGAAACCCTGCCACAAACCCTCACACCTTCCCAGACAAACAGTGAGTGATGAGCTGTGGCTCTGCCCTTACTGGTCAAAGCAAACGGGAGAAGCCAAAGCTGTGCTCACCCGCCAGAGCCTTTTTTTGTAGGCTGTCAGTGATGGCTCAAACTGCCGGGAAATGAGAGCCAGGGGTATTTCAGCAAACGCCTCATCTACCTTTTCTTTCTTGAAATCTACCATTTCCTGTCCCTTGGCCAAAAAACCCCACCACAGCAAACGGGCCTTGTGGGCTGGGGCAGTGTCAGCCACAGACACCTTCCAGCTGCCGGGCCCAGGGGAGGGTTTGCAGGAGAAAAGCTCTGTCTGGGGCACAGAGGAGCCCTGCAGGGGCACAAACTCATCCTCAGGTGTCTTTGGGAAATGGGCCAGGCTGGGGAGGTGGGAAGGTTCTCCTCGTACCATGGTGGCCAGCTTGGGAATCACGTGGCACAGGGTGCTGATGTTGCTCTCGTACCACGGGTCGGCTCTGCCCAGGTACCCTGCCACCTCACATAGCTCCTCGTGGCCACTGGAAGGGTGGTCCTGTGGGAGAAACACAGCTCAGAGGATATACCAGGAGCCAGAGAGAAGCCAGAGGGAGCTGTGCCCCTCCCTGCTTGGTCCAGAGAAGATGGTAAACTCACTTAGGGGATGCTATAGGGCAAAAATTAAGTGAAGAATGAAAAGAAGAAATAATCATTTTTATAAGAGCACATTTGTCAGGGTTCACAGCCAGCTCTGGGCCAGCTTAACATATTATGAGAAGTGCAAGTGTTTATTTGTCACTATCTTGAGGCTGTCAGAGGGGAAAAGACATGTCCAAGATAAACTGCAAGGTAGTGACTTACAGATCTAGAACTGGGGCCGTGACCAAGGAAGCAAAGCCCTCAGTGAGCAGCAACTGCTTCCCCTAAGCATTTAGGAGGTGGGAAAGGCACAAGTCCTTTGCTAAACCTCATCAGTCCTCCTATAGGTGGGTCATAGAAGCAAGACTGAATGAGTCGCCACCCATCAGGGAGGCTGGAGCAACCTGAAGGGTTCCCAAAACCAGGCTGCAAACAGAGCCCAAACACCCTGACTTGGCTCCCACCCTCCTTGTTCTAGGAACAGGGCATGAACGGATGGGAATTCCTGAATCCCCCCTGCTCTCCCTCCAAAAACACCGTCATCACTTGCTGGCAGTTGGCAGCAGCACCCGGAGCTGCCGTGCTCAGACTCACCACAACAGCCGAGGTGTCTGGCTGCCCTGCCACCACCGGGATGTAGTAGAACTGCAGGTTCAGCCTGGGAGTCAGGAAAACCCGCCGTGTTTCCCGTTTCCTTGAAATGGAAAAAGAAACAGTCGTGTCCCAAGGGGAAGAGAGAATAACATGGTTCGTGGCCAAGGCTGGGCAGTGCCAGGAGATTGCAGCTGCTCTGCAACAGGAGCATGTGCCCTCCTCTTGTGCCTCCCTTTGCCCTGTGCGACAGGACGGCAGTAATGCCCCTGGGTTCCCAAACTGAGCATGGGGAACCAGAGACAGAATTTTTTGATGGGGAACCAGAGACAGAATTTTTTTCTTGGACTGGTCATCCCTCTGCACCCAGCTCTGACTCCCAGGCCGCTGCCTGCACCACAGCCTAGACCCACCCCATGCTGCTCTCCTGGCCCAGGTGAACCAGCTTGGAAGAGCCAGTTGGAAAACAGCTTTTCTTTAGAATTTTTCCCTTTTCCATAGGAAAACATCTTGCCTCGATTATTCTTTATTAACCCACTCTGTGGACAGAGGGAAGAACTCGCTTTGTGCATCGTTTGGGCCAACAGAGCCAAATGATGCCGTGCAGCCAGTGAAGTCTGTGGAGTGCCAAACACCAGAGTCCCACCCTGTTCCGGGTAATGCTGGAGCCCAACCCCATCCCCAGTCATCCTGGCTGCTTCCAAAGGCTGAGGAGCACAGCCCTCACTCTGTCCTGCCCTTCCCCAAGTCCCCAGAGCCCAGGAGGCTGCAGCCTCCAGTTACCTCAGAGAGTGGTAGGCCTGGGCCAGGCGCCCCAGGATCCGGTCGTCCCCCAGCAGCACGATGCGGGCAGTGTGCAGCTTCTGGACCGGGGCTGCAGCATCCTGGGGGACTCCTGATCTCTTCTGCAACTTCACTGGGGGCTTCACCCCGGGACTGCAGCAGCCAGCCTGCAGGAAGGCCACGCTCTCCAGCGGTGACGGCTTTTTTTTAATGCCACCCCTCCTGTGCAGCCGGGATTGCTCCGTTTCGGCTCCACACAGGGCCAAGGGCTCCTCCACAGCCACGGGCAGGTCTCGTTCAATCCCACTGTCGGTGGAGAGGACAGAGAAGCGAGTCTGCTCACAGCATTCACAGTCTGAGACGATGTCCTGGATCTCGAAGGTGTCCAGGTCCTGGCTGAGGCAGTCGGGCTCACAGCTCTGTGACAGCGGGCGGATGAACAGCACCAATTCCTTCCCTGTGGGCAGAGAGGGGCTTGAGGAGGGAAATCCAACCAACTCCAGGCTGAGCCTTGTCCTGGCTTCCCTCTTTTCAGGCAAACTATAAAGCAAATATCTCCACCAGTGGGCCCAAGGGGAGTCTGTCTTTCAGTCCCATTTCACATTGCACCGTGAAGAGAGCTCAGTATCACCCAAATCATAGAATTACAGGCTCACAGAATTGTTTGGGTTGGAAGGGACCTTGAAGATCATCTCATTCCAATGCCCTGCCATAGGCAGGGACACCTTCCACTAGACCAGGTTGCTCAGAGCTCCATCCAACACGGCCTTGAACACTTCCAGGGATGGGGCAGCCACAACAAAATCAGGTACTCTGGACACATCCTGATGCAGCCTGTTCCTCTCCTCACTCCTTCAGCCCATTGCACCCCTAATCCCCTGATCTGTGACCAGAAGCCCACAAGAAGGAAGGCTGCTGCATTCAGCACAAAACTCCACGAGCTTGGCTCTTGGGTGATGGTTACAAGACTCACTGCTCAGGAGTCAGGGCTAAATGACAACTTTTGCACAGGATCCCCTCCCTCAGGCACCACCCCAGTTCCCCACAGCCCCCCCCAACACTCACAGAGCTGGTTGTCTTCTGTCCAGAGGTGAAAGCTGATGGTGGGGTGGGGCAGAGGTGTGTCCTGCAGCCCTCCCAGAGGGGCATTGCCTGGGGGAAACGAGGTTGCTTGTAACACACAGGAGCATTTTCCCCACCCAGGTTCATGGGGAGCTGAGCACCAGACACTGGCTGAGAGACCCTCTGCTGAGTTCCAGGGGCTCTCCCACCCTGGTTGCTTCTGGCCAGATGTGAGGCTGTAATCACAGGGCTTCTGCTCTCACAAATCAGCTGTAAGAAGATGCCTACACCCTGAGTGGAAGGGAGGATTGAAAATGGGGAGGCTGAAACACGGGCAAGTGAAGGACCTGAGAGCAGAGGGGCTGCAGAATAAATCAAACATTCTTCACAGGGGAGACCTCTGGTCCCACCATCACCATCTCTTTTTAACCCACTATGGCTCTGGGAAAAGCAGTCACACACTTTAATATCTCACTGCCTTCAAAAGGTGGAGATGGTCCCACTCCTGTCCCTGCACCACTGGCTGCTCTTCCTCATACCTTGTACTGGAACCGTATCCAGCTATTTTTGGGGAGGGGATTGGGATACAGGGAGTAACCAGGAGAGGAACCATGAACCTCATTACCCTCTGGCCTATCCCAGATTTGTGTGAGGAGCTGTAATGACTGGAGACCTTTTTTATAATCTGTGTAGCCCCAGTGGCACCAGGCTGGCAAAGAGCACTGCCAGGGATGGGAGGAGATGGCAGTGCCACAGTCCACCACGTCATAGGTGGTTTGGGTTGGAAGGGACCTTAAAGATCATCCAGTTCTGACCCTCTGCCATGGGCAGGAACACTTTCCACTGTCCCAGGTTGCTCCAAGCCCCATCCAACCTGGCCTTGAACATTTCCAGGAATGGGGCAGCCACAGCTTCTCTGGGAAACTTTGTACATCAGTACAAGGAGGTTTCAGGGAGGGGTGCAGAGTGTCCCCCCTGTCCAGGCCATGGCAGGATGTTCCTTGCACCAGCAAGGTGTTCCTCAGAGCCTGTCCAATCTCCCCCAGCTGCCATCTCTGACACTCTTTGCAAACAACAGAGACAGCTGAATCAGGAGCAGAGATTGCCACAGTCCCTTTCCTCAGGTGACAAATCTGCCTTCCACTGCCAGTTTTCCATCCTGGCCATCAGGTCACTGCAAGGACCTGATCCTGGTCCTGCTGCTAAAGCAGAGGCAGAGGGAAGGTGGGGAGGGACACCTGTGGGAGGGCATGGCAGAGACACAGCAGAGAGGCAAGGGCCTGCCAGCTGCTCCTCTGTCCCACTGGCTGGAGCTCACCTGCTTGCGAGGAGCTGAGGAGGGCCTGGTAGATCTCCTCCAGCCTGGCTGTGTGCTGGCCACGGGCTGTGCTCCCCTCGCTTCCTGCACACTCCACTGCCACCACCACCTGCTGGAACCAGTGCTCCACCTCGCTCGTGGGCATATCCTGCCGTGGGAAGCAGCTGTTAACACCCAGAGGTGTGAAAAGAGGGGATGCTCCACGGGCAGAGCCATGGGAGGGGGCAGAAAGAGGGCAAATGAGTCCTGTAAAAACTGTTTCATAGCAGAGGACACAAAGGTCCTCCTGTCCCCAGGGAAGGGTGGCTGTGTTGTCTGCTTAAAGCTTTTTTCTAGCAGGTTTGCAGCTGATGGACATTGTGTCCCCTGGGGAGTCAGCAGCAGTGCTGGCACTTCAAATGACTCTGAGGAAACTGGGACAGCAGGCACACAAAGGCGTCCTTGGAGTGGAAATTGCTGAAAGCCCCTCCAAAGGTGCCATTCTGAACCAGGCATTTGTGTTCCTGTGGCCCCACAGCTCTTTCAAGGAGAAAACTCACTGAAACTGTTCCACTGAGATGTTTCTGCAATGCCCAGGGGCTCACAGGGGAGCTGTGTTTCAGTGGCAGAGCCCTGCTCTGCTGGGCAAAACTGACAACTCAAACTGAAGATTCAAAACCTCTGGCTATTTATAAAACCTGTTTTATATTTGAAGACTGTTTTAGTTTTACACCAGCTCTGCCAGTAACGCTGGGGCTGCCAGGGATGGAGACCAGCGGTGAGGGGTTGGGTGGGGGTGATCTCTCCACTTGACAAAACACCTTTTTCTTCTTCAAGGTGTCCCAACAAGAGCAGGATGATTGGAAAACCATCGGTGGTGCTGCAGGGGTGCTGCTGTTACCTGGAGTCTGCCCTTCAGGGCGCCAAGGTCGCAGCCCTCGCCCAGGGCCGCCTGCATGGCGTGGGTGATCACGTAGCACATGCACGCCCGGGGGCTCTGGGACACCTGAGCTGCCTCTGTGTCGGTGAGCAGAGCATTGCAGATGGCTTCAGAGAGCAGCTCGGGGTCAGCAAAGATGAAAATCCTGTGTGGGGCAGGAGGGTGGAGAAAAGAGAAGAGAGGAGAGGAGAGTATTCCCTGTTACTGACATTACAGAATCACAGAATGTGCTGAGTTGGAAGGGACACACAGGGATCATCGAGTCCAACTCCTGGCCCTGCACAGGCCCATCCCCAAGAGTCACCCCCTGTGCCCCAGAGGATCAGCCAAACCCTCCTGGAGCTCTGGCAGCCTTGGGGCTGTGCCCACTGCCCTGGGGAGCCTGGGCAGTGCCCAAGCAGCCTCTGGGGGAAGAACCTTTGGCTGAGATCCAACCTGAGCCTGCCCTGACACAGCTCCAGCCATTCCCTGGTGCTGTCCCTGGTCCCCCCAGAGCAGAACTCAGTGACTACCCCTCCTCTGCCCCTTCTGAGGAAGTTATAGACTGAGCAGCTCACATTTTCCTTATTCGGTGTAGAGAAAAAGTGTTGCTGTTGATATTCCCCTTCTCCAGCCTGTCTCCCCACCAAGGGAAGCTCCCTGCCTCCCAGGACCACAGAAATAAATTGGGACACACAAGAGGAATATGCTCCTCCCAAAGCAAAGCTCATTTTAACAAGGTACTAGATGCCACCAAATTTTGTCCCCCAAGACCACGTACTGCCATGGGGTTGAGGTCCAGATTGTCTGTTCCATCCAAGACTAATTTAGACCTCTGGAAAAGGACAGATTTCATTAAGAGACTGCAAAGTAAAAGTATCAACACATTCAAGGAGGCACTACTCACTTTTCCTGGTAAGGGTACGGGTCGCTTTTGAGGCTTTGTTCAGAAATGACCATTCTTTGGTACAAGGTACCTGGCAAGTGCAAGGAGAAAAACACGTGGGAGTCAGAGCACGAGAAATAACACAACTTCTTGGAGCAGCTCAGTGCTATTCCCAGTCGTAGAGGCTGGTGGTGGGCCTGCCAAGTCCCATTGCTGCGGAGATGATGTAAAGGAGCCAAGAATCAGGCCCAGAGTTAAAAATACTCAAAGGCAAAGATAGGTCATGCTACATAAAAAGAAAACCCCTTCTATTCAGGGATGATTTCCTGTGTTTCCCTTCCTTTGTTTAGTGGATTATGAGCTCAGGAGGAAGCAGGAGGAAGAGCCCTGCTCCTGGCCTCCCTCCCCAGGGCCACACGGGGGGACAACGTCTGGGGGGATATGAAGAGCACAAGGGGCTTCTGAATCAGGAGAGATGTATTTTACCCTCACCCAGCTCTGGGGAGGGGAAGATACACCCACCTGGCACTGCTCAGGTACAATCATCTTGGGAACCTTGTGGTGCTCTGAGGGAAACCCCACTGGAGATCCCCATCTCTCCACACTGAATCATTCCTTTACCAGAAATCAGGTGAGATAAAGGTGGACCTTGGAGCTCCAGACAAAGCAGTGCTGGGGAAGGGTGGTTGGGGTGATGAGGGTGAGCTGAGAATACCTAAAATGGCATTTTTTAATTTCCCACCATGTTTCTCATGTTTTACCTCCCCCTCACAGGGTGTCTGCACCCTGCACTGTTCTAAAGGATTACTTTTAAAGACTCCTATTAAAGAAAACTGTAAAAAGAAGAACTTTAAAAAGCAATGTGGAGAAAAAGGGAAACAAAATTGCCCCTTAGCTTGCTTTTTAGAAGGGACAGTTCTCTGCAGACACTACTGGCATTTTAGTGTCTACAACCTGATGCACAGGCACTGGAGGGACAGCCCATGCTGGGCAGCCGCAACTCAGACAGAAAATTCACTTTGCAAAAAGGAGACCTCCACAAAACACATTGAGATGCCCAGGCTGGGAGCAGAAACAAGCTGTTTCCCATATAGAATCATAGAATCTGCTGAGCTGGAAGGGACCCACAAAGATCATTGAGTCCAGCTCCTGGCCCTGCACAGGTCCATCCCCAAGAGTCACCCCCTGTGCCCCAGAGGATCAGCCAAACCCTCCTGGAGCTCTGGCAGCCTTGGGGCTGTGCCCACTGCCCTGGGGAGCCTGGGCAGTGCCCAACCAGCCTCTGGGGGAAGAACCTTTGGCTGAGATCCAACCTGAGCCTGCCCTGACACAGCTCCAGCCATTCCCTGGTGCTGTCCCTGGTCCCCCCAGAGCAGAGTTCAGTCCCTGCCCCTCCTCTGCCCCTGCCCAGGAAGGTGGAACTGCAGTGAGGTCTCCCCTCAGTCTCCTCTTCTCCAGCTGAACACACCAAGTGACTTCAGCCACTCCTCAGAATGCAGAGGGTGTGTATCTATATCTACATCTATCTATCTATCTATCTATCTATCTATCTATCTATCTATCTATCTATCTATCTTTTTATTTATGTAGCTGGCCGTAGATGGGCTGGCCTGGACTCTGGTGTGCCTGCACTGATGGCAGAATGACCCCAAAGTTTTCTGCTAGTAACTAAGGCTCAGCAGCCTGAGGTCAGGAGAGGGGAGCCCTCCCACCCAAATGCATGCCCAAGACCCCCAAGCATTTGGCCATCTCCCTGCCATGGCTCACTGCACTGGGCAAAGGCCAGCTCAGGCATGGAAATCCCCCAGAGCCCCCATGAGCTGGTTTTGGCTGGGGTGGAGTTGATTTTCTTCATGACACCCCAGTCCCGTTGCCTCGAGGGCCCAGCCATGCCCGGTGCCATGCAGGGACAGAGCAAGGGACCATCATACCTGGTGCTGTCCTCTCCACCTTCAGCCTGGTGGCATAGTCCAGCCCAATGGTGCAGAAAGGCTTGGGCAGGGTCAGCAGCTTCTTGCAGAAGTCGTAGACTCTGCCACAGAGCTCCTCAGAGATGCAGGGAGCCTGGAGAGAGATAAGGAGATGCCACGGGCAGGGATCCCTAATGCTGCTTTCCCCACAGATCCCACAACTACACCAAATTCTGTGTGGATTTAAATGCAAAATGCAGCAGAATGCTGGGAAAACCTCCAGCAATAACCACTGAAGGTTGTGGGCACTTTTTTTACCAGATTGTGGCTTCCTGCACCACCAGGCACCTAAACACCTCCAGCAAAGCAGGTCAGCTGGAAGGACCTGTCACTCCTGTGCATGTCACAGGTGACAGAGTCTCAGCCACCAAACAGCACCCAGGGAAATGCCCAACTGAGTCCACCCATGGCAGTCCCAGGGCTTTGCTGGGCAGGGCTATTCCAGCACAGGAACAGGTCATGACTTCAAGTGGCCCCTCCTGTGGCTTCTGATTTCCCTGGCTCTTGCCCCAGCAAGGCCCATGGTAGGTTACCTTGATCAAGGTGTACATCAGGGTGTGCAGCAAGGGGATGATGTAATGCCTGAAGTCACCCCGCTCTGCCTGTGGAAGCAGAAGGAACAGTCGGTGCCCGCAGGATCCCGGGCTGGGCACCAGCACTGGGAATGAGCCCCCAGAGCCCCCAGGATGTGCTGGGTTCTGTCTCTCAGCAGCTCAGATGCCCAAGGTATTCATCCTGGCTTAGGGGATATGATCCCTGGCCCAAGGTGGGGTTTGGGATCCCCTCACAGGCTTTTAGGGTGGGCAGGATGTCTCTGGAGGGTGCATGGACCACTCAGCCACGGTGGGAGAGTGAGAGCAAAGGTTTCCAACAGACCTCCTCCTTTCTGTTGCAGAAGCTCATATGGAAAACCAAAACCTCTGGGAAGAGTCTGTCTTACATTTGGTGGGTGTGGGACCAGAGTGAACAGGGAGGAGAGCTGTTCTTGCATCCCCATCCTGGCCCATGGGAAACCAGATGGATGCTCCAGCTGACACAGCTCCAGCCCCTCCCTGCAGCCTGGTCTGGCTCTAACAACAACTCCAGCAACAGGAATGCCCAGGGATAAACTTGGGAAAGGTATTTCCGCTCCAAAGATATTTCTAGCACCTTTCTTCAGGGCTGATGGATCTGAGTTAAATGGAACTGATGGCAGCAAAGTTTTAGAAATGATCAATGAAATGAATAACGCTGAATTGCTGAGCTCAGTTGATATTTGCCCTGGAGAAACTCAAGCATGAAATTGCTAAATTATCATCTCTGGTTGGTATTGGTAGCTCAGAGCTGCTGCAGTGCCAGAGGAGTGAAAAAATAATAAAACCGAAACGAGTGACACAGATTTCCAGGAAGAGCTTCAGGGAGATGAAGGGAATTACAAACCAGGAGCACTGACACCCCTTCTGGGCAAGGAAAGATAAGAGCTGCAGAGTGATAGTAGGTATGAGGAGGACTGACATGGCTTTAGCAGAGGAAAGCAGCCCTCAAGTCTCTGGGGGAAATCCCTGTATCCACAGCCAAGGGTGATGTGGGTGTTCCTGTCTATCTGGATTTGCAAAAGCTGCTGGATAAAATCCCTTCCCAAGGCACTGAAGGAAGCTGAACTGCCATAGCATGAGACAGACAGCCTGCAAGTAGCCTCAGAGCTGCTACAAGGCAGAAATCTGGGATTGGGAATAACTGCTGGATGTGTGCACAGGGATCTGTACTGGGCTGGCATGGCCCGTGTGTGTGGCACGTGCTGAGGGAGGGAGGTGGCAGCCTCGGCAGGGCTGCTCCATCCTCCCAGATCAGAAGGAGAAATTAGTAAAAATGCAGAGAAAACGGTGCAGGGAGGTTTGTGCACACAGGATGAGGAGTGTGAGCTCATCAGTGGGGTGAGGAGGAAGAAATTGAGGAGGAGAAGGAAGAGGAGGAGAAGGAGGAGGAGGAGGGGAACAGGGGCTGATCCTCCCTGCACTGGAATGAGGGCACTGGATAAAATGAGGCAGGCTCATAAGAGAGAAAAAGTGCTTCTTCTACACATGACACCTCAGCAAACCACAAACCAGGTCATGCCAGGATGCTGAGGGTGCTAAAGGTTTATACAAGACTAGAAAATGACAAAGTAAATCAATGAAACGAAAAAGCCGTCACAGGTTTCCACCTGTGCTCCTGGGACAGGACGCTGGGCAAGGTCTTTCATCACAATGGTTGATGTGGAGGAGTATTTTCCACTCTACCTGTGACCACAGTTGGTAGGGTGGGATGAGGGAGATTTGGGGTGGTTGGAGGTGTTTGTCACTATTTGCAGACTGTGAGGGCTTTGGCTGCTGTGACATTGAGGAGCCTGGGGAGGTTCCTGGCTCTGCCCATGGCTCATCGTCACTTTTGGAACAAACCCTGGCCCCTGCAGACATCAGCTGGGGACAAGCTACAGCTCTGCCCTGGTGTCCTACAGGGTTTTCCACTCTGTGCTAAGCCACAGTCCCCAGCCAGGCTCAAGGCCCCTAAAAATTCCTGTTTGAGGTGGAGTTGAGTCCCCATCCCTCTGCCCACCCAGCAGGGCACGTGCCACAGAGGAGCCAAGCCTCAGGGGACATCTCTGAGGTAGCACTTACCCTTTCCAGCTCCTTCACCAGGATCCTGACCAGGACAGAGCTGTTACTGGGATTCTGGTCGATTTTTTTATGCAGGGTCCATCGCAGCATCCCTGAGAAGTGAAAGCCAGGAAAGGTCAGGTGGCCAAGCAGAGCAGTGAGGGATCAGGGTGTTCCACAGAGGAACCAGAAGACATGGGGGCTGTTGGTGCAAAAAACACCCCCTGGGATGCTGCACTGACATCCCTATCAGAGCTAAACCAGATTTGTCTTCCCTCTGCTTCAATCATTGTCCCTCTGCAAGGGACAAGCCAGGCTGCTGCCCTGATTGTGGATGCAGAATTGAAGTGTTTTATCTCTAGTACTGGCAAACCTTTGGAAAAAGGTCTCCAGGACTGTGGGGGCTGGAGAACAGCAAGGCAGGGCAATGGACATGAAGTTTGTTTCCTGTTGCCTCTGTTGCTCTGTGCATCACTGCCTGTTTCCACAGCCTGCCCCAAGGAATTTGGGTTCCTGCTGGTCCCCAGCACACAGCACCTGAACACTGCCTGCCAACAGCACTCAGAGCAAGGACTGCAAAGCATCTCAGTCCTGAGAATGTCAAGGCTCATTCCAGACAAAATTCGACTTAATTAACTGTAAAATATTCCGCATGCTTGAAGAAAAATCAATTTTTCAAAATTAATTAGGTTTCCTAAGGCTGTGACAGTCCAGTGGCTGGCTCAGGTAGAGTCTCATTCTCCAAATCCGTAACACAGAGAAATCAAGTGACTCTTCAGTGAGGAGCTGAGCAGTGCGTGGCAAAACAGTATCCCCATGGAGAGAGGCAGGGACACTCCAGCTCACAGGTGCTGAGTGAGTTGGACAGGGATGTGCCAGGAGTCACTGTCAGACCTGGGAGCTCTGCATTTATGTCCCAGCTTAATGCTGGACCCCCTGGGTGAGTGTAGGGTGGGAAGGATGTAAAAGCCACGCAGAGGATGATGAAAAGGGCTGGGGCTGGTGCACGGCAGTCACAGAACAACAGTATCAGAGGATATTCCGAGTTGGAAAGGACCCACAAGGGTCACTGAGTCCAACTTTTGAGTGAATGGCCCGTGAGGGGATCAAACCCACAACCTTGGTGTTTTAGCATCATGCTCTGAGCAGCTGAGCTGATCTCAGGGTCACCAGGAGCAAAGATTTGGCACCTCCAGAGCAGCTTAGGGAGGTCAGAGCAGCGCCGGGGGGGAAGCCACCGTGTCCCCCCACCCTGGCACTGCCTGAGAGAGGGGAACAGGGGGTGCTGGGGCCAAGCAAGCCCCAGCAAGGCGGGTACTGACCCCGGGGGCGGTGCCAGGGCTGTGTCTCACCTCGGTCACACTGGCAGGCCGGGTGGTGCCCGTCCAGCTCTCGCAGCAGCGTCCGGACCCGGCGCAGGATGTCCGACTCCACCTCTGCAGGGACAAAGAGGACGTGAGCAGCCAGGCCAGCACCCCTGGGAGACTGGGACAACCCCGGGGGAGGAGACAGTGGTTTGGGTGAGCACAGGGACTGCACCTTCCCCACAGCCCTCAGGGTGGCTCTCCCAGCAGGTTTCAATCCTGAATGAACCTCTATGGAAACAGAGCAGAGCTGCCTGAGCTGGGTGGGAATGCCAGCGCATGGAGTGGTGGTCCCTGGATCCATACTGGAGAGCAGAGTGCTCCTGCAGGGACGTGGTGGTAGAGGGGCTTTGCAGAGGAATGCTCGTACATGAGCTCTGCAGAGCCTTCCTCTCCCCCTGTTCGATAGAAAAAAATCACACATTAAATATAGAACTAACAAAATGAAACCACAACTTGGCACCAGGAACGAGCAGAAACACCTCTGCATTTTGGCACTGCACGGATTCAGCCTCAACCTCACACCCATCACAAGGAGCACTCTTGCAACAAGGTCTGCTGCCCACACCAGCAGCTCACCCCTCATGGGAAACACATGCAGAGCTACCAGGCTGGCATGTCCCCTCCTGCCTTCACCTGTGACCCCTCACAGCCTCCCCCTGACGTGCAACCACCCACCCCTGGGCCTGGAGCACCTTCTCCTTCCTCAGGGAGGGACTCTGGGTCAGTAACTCTGCCTGGTAACCGCCACATGCACGTTGTACTCGTCAAAACCAAACTGCATCCTGCTCTCAGCCAAAAATAAGTTCTACAACCTCAGCCCCAGTTTGGGCCATGACTCACAGTGGGCTGAGGGCTCATGAGCATGAGCTCACTGGGTGACAGCAGACTGGCCACACACAAAAACCAGCCCTGAAAGCACGTGGGTGAAGGACAGGAAGGCTGCAAGGTCCCTGTACCCCACCATGGCCCTGCCTTTGTGTCCCTCCTTACACTGGGCTGCTCTTTCCCAACCAGCAAAACAATTCCTGCTCCTTTGTAATGAAAAAAAGCATTATATAAAGTTGGATATTATCAGGTGATGTTCTCCTGATGTAGGAAATTTCAGGCTGGAGCAGCCAGAACATGCCTGGTCCAGGGGAGGATCACGGAATCACAGAATGGTTTGGGTTGGAAGGGACCTTAAAGATCATCTCGTTCCACCCCCTTCCATGGGCAGGGACACCTTCCACTAGATCAGGTTGCTCAGAGCCCCATCCAATCTGGGCTTAAACACTTCCAGGGACCTCAGATGTTTGTGGCAACTGTGTCCCAGGGCCCTTTCCTGGGGCAGGTTCCTGTCTCCATGTTCACCGGTGGGATCCCAGTCATTGCCAGCAGTGACCAAGTGGGTCTTGCCTGCTTGGCAAGGATGCAAGGAGCAATTTATCCAGTTCCTGAGGGAACTCCAAACAAATACTGCCTGGTCAGAGTTGTCTCATCCATGTGGGATTGCCTTTTGAGGTGGATGTCATTACCACCACGTTTTCTGCCCAGTTTTGCTGCTGTATTTTTTCATTCCCTCCGCACCCTCTTCTGCCACATTTCCTTTTTCCCTGACATCAGAGCAAGAGCAGAAGAGCATTCAGTTCACTGCAGGATCCAGAGCTGTACTCAAGGACCACAGCCTCCAAACCTCCTCCCTTGGCTCCTGAAGGAGAGGGTTGAGTTGCTGGAACAGGTTTTGGGCTTTGTGAGGAATAGTGACTGGGGAGGTGTGTTAGGAGCTGGTGTTGGCAGCTATGGGAAGGAAACCAGGAAAATACTGGGGGGATTTTACAGCTCAGCTAAAGGTTCAGACTAGCAGGGGCATCTCCCAGGCTTCCCAGGGCAGTGGTCACAGCCCCAAAGCTGACAGAGCTCAAGAAGTGTTTGGATAACGCTCTCAGGGACAGGGTGGGATTGTTGGGGTGTCTGTGCAGGGCCAGGGGTTGGACTTTGATGATCCTTGTGGACCCCTTCCAGCTCAGGATATTCTGTGATTCTGTGGTTCTGTGATCTCCACTGAGTGCTCCTGTGGGCAGAGGACCATCCAGACCTCATCACACAGGCAATGGGGCAGCTCTGAGTATCCGGCCCCTCGTCCCATGCACCATCTCAGGAGGGGTTTGAAGCAAAAACTAGATATTTTTTTTTGCCCTTCTACTGTGTCTTTTAGTGGTGGCTGAGGGTCATCAGGCAGCAGAGAGGATGTGGCACCCCACCATTCCCACTGGCAATGTCCACCAGGGAGCAGGAGCACTTTGCCACTCTCACAGCACCTCTGGTGCTGCCTCGTGCCCACCTCTCAGGGGAACATCACAGCCAGTGATGAGCCACTCTTTCCCTCTCCAAGCCCAAGCCTGCAGTGCCAAAGGTCCAGAGAGATGGTGATCAGGGAATAGGGGCAGCAGAATGAGCTCTGCATAAAAGACAACTGGGAAATGCAAAATTTAAAATATTTGGGATGGTCTATTCCTGAGTACACCCCAACAGCCAAAACAGTTCTCCTATTTAGTGACTCCAGAGGAGTGCATCCCTTAAGGTGCTTGTAGGGAGGATTCATTCAATCCAGGCTTCTGCAGAGGAGCATTTATTGCTGGGGCTTCAGTCAAGGCTGTGTCAGGAAACAGCCACACTCAGGGTCACAGTTATTCACAGGTGCTGATGAAGCTCTGTGTGTGCACAAGGGGAGCACAGTTCATGTCATAGTACCCACACAGGGAGAAACTACAGTGCAAAAATGTCCTTTCAAATGGGATTTTCCTCATTTTGGAGGTGTCATTTGGGGAAATGTCTTGGAAACTTGTATTTTCCCTCCTTTTTGTTTTGTCTCCGGTGATTTTGTGAAGCTCCTCAGTTTCACTATTCTGTTTATTGGTTTTGCACTCAGAGATTATGCAATAATGGACTATTTGAAATTTCCTGTTCTTTTTATTTGTATATGTTTATAATTACCAGGGGAAGCTCTTCCTAGGCATTGATATAAATACTGTCCTCTCCTTCTAAATCAAAGCAACCTCAGCCGAGATACGCTGAGGTTTCTTCACAGGGAGCAGAGCGTCAAAGAGATTGTTCCAACACAAAAAAGAGGAGCTTTGATCTAAAAACAGGCTCAACCTACCAGCAACAAACAGTAGTGGCTCAGAAATTAGATAAAATGTTTCAGCAGTAACATCCTGACCTCGGGGTGCCAGGAGATCAGCACCATCTTGTCAAACAGCATGAAAATAAAATATGGGGGGGGGGGGGGGGGGGGGGGGAATGGACACCAAAAAATACAACAAAACATAAAACTGCTTTAAAACTCAAATGAGAAACACTGCAGTCGTGAGGCTTTCAAAGTGCCCCACTACAGAAATCTTTTGGCTGCCCCTCCACTGCTTTGTGCCTCATTCCCACCCATCCAGCAGCATCTGCCAACTCCTCGCAAAGAGCGAGGGCTGCCCAGTTTAGGGGTCCATGTGTTTTACTGGAGGGTGATTGAGGCAGAAGAAGGTGGCTGAGGGTTCATTCACGGAGATCCCCCCACCCCAGCACCCCGGGGGACTCAGCATCACCCACCTGTGCTGTCCATGGCCGAGCTGGGGCTGCAGCACGGGGTGGGCACGGCGGCCGTGGGGCGTCTGCGCGGGGGGGGATGCACAGCTGCTCCTCACTCCACTCGGGCATGGCCTTGGGCCCGGGGGCTTGCCTGCAAAACATTAGGGCACACATGGCTCAGGCTGGTTTTGGAGACCAGGCTCAGCCTGAAACTTGGGAGGGAGCACAAAGTCATCAGGACACTGTGGGTGTGGGACCCCGGCGTGGAGGGTGTCCAGGAAGGAAGCCTAGAGTGAGCACAGGCTCTGCTGGAGAAACCTTCAGCTCAAAGCTAAACCCATCTGAATATTTGGCCCCCAAAGCCTCCCACAGCAAGGAGATCCCCAGGGATGAGCATCAGCATCACTGAGAAGGGCAGGATCAGGAACCTCACCCTCCCCAGGATTTAAGGAGAGATGTTCAACTTAAGTCAAACTGAGTCTGAAATGCAAAGTCCAACTAAAAAAAAAAAAAAAAAAAAAATCTGAAGAAAGCCTAAATTTCCATGAGGTTTTTATGCTTGATGCTGATCCACTGCCATCTTGATCCAGCATCCCAGAGAAAGAAACCCTGAGGAAAGCTCAGGGGACAGTTACACTGCAGAGGGAAGCCAGCCTGGAGCCAGACAGCTTCCCTTGCCCTCCAGTATTGTTCTCTCCTAAGAAAGGAAAAAAAATAAGCCTAAGAGCTGAGGAGGAAGGAAGGGAGATTTGCCTGTGACACAGCTACAACCAGGTTGTGGAGCCAGCACAGGGCAGCCACAGGGGAGCAGAGGAGACATCAGTGTCTTCTGTGCAAAATATCCCCTCAGAGATGCTCAGCTGCAGCCATGTACAGCCATGTACCCCCAGCTGGGTCCTCCTGGCACCTCGTGGTCCTGCCCCCCTCGTGCCCACTGCAAAGCAGCATCTCCCCCAGTGCATGTCCCTCTCCCATCTCCCCATCCAAGGGCACAGCAACACCCTCAGGACTGTGGTGCCTGTATTTGCAGCCAAGGTGAGCTGCAACACGGCTTCCAGCATCTCTAGATTGAGCCTCTTCCAGCCTGCATGTTTTGTCTTCTCTTCTTGCCTTTAGGAGTGGAAAAAAAAACCAAAAACAACCAGGCCATAGGTAATTCTGTGATTTCCCTGACATGCCCACATTTATGGCTGGTAACAGGGAGCCCCCCTCCATCATGTCCCAAAGCAGCACAGGCATCAACAACAGTGCAGTGCCATCAGCCCTCAGAATCCCTCCAAGCACAGGCAGACCATCAGCCCACACTTGTCTTTGTTCCATTTAGGATCTGCTCTATTTGATTTGTAGGTTTAAAACCTAGTTCTACCCAGGTAGTTCCTAAATCTGCAAATATCCATGACCAAATCCAACAGCTCTGCAGCTGCAGGAGGAGGTGGATGAGCACATGGAGGAGTGCCACGGCCACACACCACTCGGGCCCCGAGAGCATCCTGCTCACAGCAGCTTCCA